ACATGCATCTAGAGTAATAAGTTCATAAAAAATGAAGTAACACCTTAAGCAAGATGACATGATACAGACAAAGTAAACTCAAGCAATATGAATAAACCTCATCATTTTATACTTAATGGCAACAATACAAATACGTGTGTTGTCCTTTCTGTCACTGGGATATAGAGCACCGCAAGATTGAACCCATCACAAAGCACCTCTCCCATTGCAAGATAAATCAACCTAGTTGGCCAAACCAAACCGAACGGATAGATAGAAGAGAAATACAAAACTATAATAATCATGCATAAAAGAGTTCAGAGAAGACTCAAATAATATTCATAGATAATCTGATCATAAACCCACAATTTATCGGATCCCAACAAACACACCACAAAAAGTCATTATATCGGATAGTTCTGCAAGAACATCGAGGAGAACATTGTATTGAAGCCATCTACTCCCTCCGTTCCAAATTACTTGTCGCGGTTTTAGTTCAAATTTGAACTAAAACCACGACAAGTAATTTGGAACGGAGGGAGTAATTACTAGCTATGGACCCGTAGGCCTATGGTAAACTACTGATACACCATCGGAAGGGCATCAAGGTTGATGTAGAAGCCCTCCGTGGTCGATTCTCCATCCGGCAGAGTTCCGGAAAAGGCATCCAGATGGGATCCCGCAAGAACAAAGGCTTGCGGCGGCGGAAAAAGTATTTTGGATGGCTCTCTATTGGTTTCCCAGTTTTAGAGAATTTATAGAGTTGGAATTAGGTCAAATGGAGGAACGAGGGGCGCACAAGCCACATGGGCGCACCTACCCCCTGGGTGTGCCCATGTGCCTTGTGGCCTACTCCTTCACCTTCTGGCCTCCTCCCGAAGCTTCTAGGGTCTCTTATGTCCAAAAAAATCATCATAAATGTTTCGTGGCACTTGGACTTCGTTTGGTACTGATTTTCTAGAAAACCAAAAATAGACTAAAAAACAGCAACTGACACTTGGCACTAAGTTAATAGGTTAGTCCCAAAAATGATATAATATTGCATATAAAACATTCAAGATTAATACTATAATAGCATGGAACAATAAAAAATTATAGATGCATTGGAGACGTATCATGAGTCCATGTCCACCTTTATCCTTGGGGCTTAACACGACCTCCCATGTGACTGGACAAGTCCACCAATAACCCCTAACCGACCATTTCCAAAAAAAGGCATGTCTAATCTTGTCGATGGACTTGGTGACCCAGGGCGGTGGATCTAGCAAAAAGGTGAAATCGTGGTAGAATTAAGCACAAATTACACAAAAATGGGGCGATTGAGTCAGTAAAAAAAAGAATGGGGTGGTCGCTCCATGTAAGCATCGCAGCATGCCAAGAGGCAAGAAAGGCCTCAACGTATCCATGAGTATTTGTAAATCATCCTTCTTGGACTTCTTGCAGTTCATTGGCAACCCAAGGTAAGTGATGTGGAGATGCTTAAGTTGATAGTTGAGCATATTACAACAAATCTCAATAAAACAGGTGTCGTGGCTTATGGGTGTATTTTTTTTTAAACAGCTTATGGGTGTACTAGAGCTCTTAAGGATATTGCAATTTAGCCCAGAGGGCGGAGGCACCGCCGAAGATATGCACTAGGGTTTTAACAACCTGTACATATGCGAGAGAAACGCATAGAAAAAGAATAATGTCGTCGGCATATAAAGAAAGCCTTTATTAAATAATGTCACTAGGAAATACAGTGAGCAGCCCCAAATCCTCTGCCTTAGAAATGGGTAGGTTAAAAGCATCCATAGTAATGATAATGTGCATCAAAGACACGGAAACTCCTTGTCGTAAGCTCCGAGCATGCCAAATAAATGGTCTCCGAGCATCATTGAGTAGTATGCTCGAAGAGGCCGTCGAGAGAATCACAATCCATGTCTGCCACGTTGGCCTGAGGCCCTTATCCCTAAGGATATCAAGAAGGAATTGCCAAGCGTCTGCATCAAAAGCTTTAGAAATACCTAATTTCGAAATAAGACTACTGCATCGTCCCACACGAGAGAGTGACATTATTCATCTTGGTTGAATAAACTCATGATGGTTTTAGCCCAAACAATCTTCATCTTAATATTCCCAAACGACTTGGAACTCCAACTTAGGAGAGATTTGGTTGTGAACTTAAGTTTACACCCGAATCGAGTGAGCGGATTTGAGATTGAGCAAAGGGCCTCTCTAGACCAAGCCGTGAAAATCGTCTCAATGAAGTCATCCAGATCAAGCCAGGAGGATTCAAAGCGAAAACACCAACACTTAACACTCTTGTGAACCATATAGAGGAGCAGCGGGCAATGGTGTGAGATGGCCGAAGAAATTCGTTAGAGGAAGGAGTAACAACGAATACCACTCTGGAGAGCCTAAAATGCGAACAATTTGCATAGCACGGTATTCTCTTGGTCTATTGGTCATTAGACCAGGAATATGCACAACTATTGAGAGTATTGTCGGGCAATATGGGCTACCATTGTGAGTAATGTCGAGCAGGCCGAGGTCATTTACGGCCTTCATGATGTTGCCCAACATGTAGCGATTGATATTATTATTATTCTTGTCATCGACACTTGGAATAAGGTTAAAATCCCCGGAGAGGAGACATAGACTAGTCGCGCTCTCACATATAAGCCTAAGCTCTTCGAGAAATCTTAACTTGTCCCGTCTATCTTGTGGCCCATAAACGGAGCTAGCCCAGAAGGCTGGCAAGTAGGGGCGATGGTAAGTAAATGTGAACGTTTATAGTTGGTTAATGTGCCTAGCTACTCACCAAGCAATCATTCCTGCAAAAAAGTCAACATTTTCAGAGATTAAAATTTTAGGCCAACTCCCCCTTCTCTCTCTCTCTCACACACACACAAGCTACTTTTTTGGAGCATGGTGAACATATTTTGGCCCTGTTTGGATACTCTAACACAGTTAGAGTTAGAGTTATTTTCTAACTCACTCTAACCCAAATAAGCACCTCTCCACCAGGATAGTTGGGTTGTGATCATATCCTTGCACAATGTATCTATGCCCGTGAGACCTAGCATCGCTGCTTTGATGTTCTGAACCTGCCTACCGCGGTCACGACACCCCAAGATTGCTTTCTGGAATAGTGGATGGCGCAGAGACAAGCCTTCCAAAAGGAGGAGAGGCGTGGGTTTGACACTTTGTTTATCTGTGCCACGTGGTCCATGTGGAAGCAGTGGAACGCCCGTGTCTTCAATCGGAGAGAACAACAGTTAGATGCGCAGGCCCTGACGAGTAGCATTCTTGAGGAGATTAAGGAATAGAAACTTGCTAGAGGCGGAGTAGGTGGTTTACAAAGATTCGTGAGAGTGTAGCTTATTCTCTTGTAATGGTGTGGGTGGGCTAATGGTGGTGTCCACACTACTATCGGCCTCTTGTAATCAAATTTTCTTCTTTCTATAAAAATATGGTACGCAATTTGCGTACTCTCGAAAAAAATAACTAACCCACTCTAACCCTCCATGTTTGAATATTTTTGGTTATTTGAGCCTTCAATTAACCCAAACTAGCTCTAACCCCATGATCCAAACAGAATTTTTGTCACTTCATTGGCACGATATATAGTCAACGTCAATGTCCATTAGGCGGTACCGAAAGTTGGTAGTCATGGACTCATGGTGTTGGTCAATGATGGCGCAATGAATACGTTAAACCTGAGTTGGTCCAGTCAACCGGCGTGAGATTTTCATCATAGTTACTTCACATATAGTCTTAGACACAAAATTCTACACTTTTTCAGAAAAAAAGATACCTAGGCCCTCGACAGCGTAGAATAGTTTCTCAAATTGAAAGTATATTTAATTCTAGCTAGAAGCACTTAAAGCTAGCCGGTTGTTTGAAACATAATTAGCGCCAGACTATCATTTGCTTAAGCCCAAGTTGCACATTATTTGAGGATAACCAACATTAGACTATTATTTGTGTAAGTCGGTGTCACTGGTCACTTTCCTTCCAACCCAATTATATATATCAAATATCTTTTGAGGCGGTGAAGATTCTTTGCCACTTGCATGGGCACCATATGCAGTCAGCATCAATGGTAGTATCAATTATGCGGTAAAGGAATACGATAGTTGTGATATCGGTCATCGATAGCAACAACGCATGTACCTCTCGCATGTTGGTTCTCGTTTTTTGCTCTTTAACCTTTTACGGTCAAACTCAAAAGTGGAGCTGGCCGGTAAAACTTCCTGTCGTAATCGAAGCCATTTGTCCAACACGTAGATACCCACTTGTTCGACAAGTGGATGCGTAGATCCATACTCTAAGCCCCTGCCGTGTAGCAGAATAGTTTCTCCGTCTGAAGATACGTGTTATTCTACTTGGAAGCATTAAAAAGTGGCCGAAAATAAGCTTTAGACCGAAAACGGCCGCCCTTTAAGGTCTTCTTTGGTTTGGAGGAATTTCATAAGAATTTTAAAGGATAGAATTTTTTCCTTTAGAGCTCTTTTGGTTCATAGGAATGGATTCCTATTTCTACATAGGATTAGTTTCTATCCTCCATATTTCATAGGAAAATAAAAATGAGCCTAGACTCAATGAAAAAATTTCTTTGATGTCAACCAAATGACATCTTGTTTCTTATTTCTACTCATAGAATTTAAGATATATGTCATCTTATTTCCTACCAGATTTCTATTTTTACGATAATTCTATTCTATGAACCAAATGAGGCATAAGCGGCTGGGCAGATGGATAGAGGTAGAGGTGGGTAGATAGGCAGGAGTACACGGCGAGTTGCATCGTCATCGCCCGTTGGTCGCGCACGCAGTTTCGCCGGAGACCGGGCCAAAAGGCCCCGCCCTCCGCCCGGTCGAGACTGAAGCGCAGAGGCGCCGCGCAGCCGCTCGCGCCCGTGACTCCACGTACGCCCCGCAGGCCACGCGCTCCGTCCGGCCTCCAGCCAGCGCGAGCGTTACCGCTCCGGCCTCGGCTCCGCCGCGAGCCACGCCACGCGTCCCCCCTGTCACGACATGTGTCCTGCCGGGCGGGCGGCGTGCCGTGTCCGCGCTCCCGAAACTGCCCCTCCCCCTCTCTCACACCTCGAAAGCAAAAGGGCGGAGCGGGGGCCCCCGGGGACGAGCAAATTATTTTTGTTGCGAGGGCGCGTCTCCTTCCTCCTCTCCGTGCGAGGCAGCGGCGACGGCGAGCGGACCGGAACAGCACATCGCCGGCTCTACATCAATGGCGTCCACCTCCCTCCTCGGCTGCGCAGTTCTCGTAAGTCGCGTCGCGCCCCTCTCCTCGATCCTCCTCCTCCTATGCGCTCGCTTCTCTCTCGCTTCCTGTCTCATGAGCTGCTGACCTTAATTGCGCTTGGTTCCTGACTGTCCCTCCCCGCGGCGGCAGGCTCTTCTCTGACGAGCGCGGGAGCTTCCTCTGACCCGAGCAACGACACCGTGCGGGAGCTTCCTCTGTCCAGTGACCAGTTCCTGGCTTCGCCGGCGATGGAGGCCTACTCGAGGGACCTGCTGCGCGGCGTCGGCGGGGGAGGCGAGGCCGGTCGCGGCGAGGAGAAGCCGGGGCGCCTGGATTCGCAGACCGAGGAGGTCGAGCTTAGCCTCGGCCTGTCGCTCGGGGGCCGATTCGGGCAGGAGAGGAGGAGGGGCGAGGGGCTCGCCAGGTCCTCCTCCGTCGCCTGCATCCAGCAGGTGGCGCTGGCGCCGCCCGCGCTCCCCAGGACACACTCCCTGCCGCCTATGGCGGAGGCGGAGGCGGGGAACACCACCGCTTCCCCTAGGAGCGGCGCTGAGGTCCAGCCGCAGGGGAGTGGTGCCCCTCTGAACGGCGCCGTGGTGGAGCCCGCAGCTTTGCCACGGGCGAGCTTGAGCCCCCCGTCCACAGGCTCGTCGGACGGCGAAGGGAAGCTGCGGGCGAGCTTGAGCCCCCCGTCCACAGGCTCGTCGGCCGGCGACGGTGCGTCTTTTTTTTTCTGTCTTGATGTTTCCATGTGACGGTACTGATTTTGTATTAGTCATGTGGTAGTATTTTATTAGCTCAATTAATTCTCAAGCTCAGCAATGTGGTAGTATTAGTACTAACTTCATACATCTCATTTCCAAAAAAAATTAAAAAAATTGCACACATCTGGTAAATATATTGTGTTAGGTAGGTTCAACGGACATGATTGTTTTTATCTGGTACAAAGGACATGAATAGTTTCATTGTTTCTAAGAAAAATCTGTGAGCATAGATGCAATCATGCAATGCACATTAGGAAAGTGGAATTAGGCTTGCCATTTGCCAATTGCACCTGGCCAGTGAATAAAGTACACCAGTAGTATGGAGTAAAAGGCGCCCCTGTTTCTCTCTGGAGTATAGGTAGGCCGCTGGATCTTAGGTGGATTCGGCAAGCTAAGGTGATGTGTTACCATCTGTGTTTCCTTGTTGGCACCCGGGAATTGTCTTACAGCTCGGTTGGCTCGCTTATTTGACAACTTCTACATTAGTATAATGGAGCTGTCCTGTTTACAAGTATTTGTGAGCCAGGGTCTATTAGAACACTGCCATGATTTGTGTACCATTTTAGGAAGATGGGAAAGCAAGGCATAATCAGGGTGTGGGCTAGCTGCCTGGGCGGCCATCTCTAGCCTATTATAAGGATAGAAAGTACTAGGGCTGCCGAGACAAGCAATTATTAGTTCTCACTAGCTTGTGTGTGTTTTCTGCAAAGAGGCCAAAATCCATTTATTCAAGGCGACCAACCCTTACAGGACCATCCTTAGAGAAACAAAAAATTACACATGGCTCCTAGGGAAATTGACACCGTCCTCCTCCCGCACTCGCTAGAGGTGTAGTGTAAGCAAAGCTTCATACTGCACCTGGATCTCCGAAACACCGTTGGAGCCAAGGAATGTTGTTGATGTAGCGGCCAAGAAGTCGTCGGTGGAGCCAGAAGACGTCGACGAAAACATATCGCCACCTCGGAGAAGGCAGCAAAGAAGGTTGGACGACCAACCTAGATTTGGACAAACGGGTCTGGCAAAACCTAACCTCGTTAGTTCCCGGGTGAAGCCGAAGCTGGCCGAACTTCGACCATTTGGAGGAGGCAGTGGACCAAGAGACGAAGCGCATCGTCTTCTCTTGCAGAGGACGCCTTCGACGACCACCTGCAAAGCATGAAGACGGAACCAGATCCGCCGCACACCAGAAGAGCAACGACTAGACAATCCTCCATCCTCCTCTATGGCGCTAACGAGGCCGTCGCCAACAAGTTGGGGAAACCTTACTCTTCTACACACGCTGTCGTCGTCACCACATCACCGTCGTCGGGGAACTAAACCCTAAGTACAGTGTCGTTGGGCAGACTAGGTCAAAATGCATGTCATTTGTTTGTATCTTGTGAAGCATGTGGCGCTTTGCAATATTTATTATTCGAAGGTGGTACATGAGTTATATGCCTTATTCAACATGACATTGTTGGATAAGGCAAAATGGCCCTCGACCTACACGAGTTTGGGATGTCATAGCCAACAATTAAAGTTGGACACTCGTCGAGGTTTGTCGCTGGTGAACAAGTCGAAGACATTGTCTATCCTAGTTCTGATGCTCGCCATTCTGGTGTAGTTTGTGACGCCAATGTGTTTGCTTACCTAGTGTAACATTTCACTCGTTTGAAGAGTGGCATCAAAGGCTTGCCATTTCATTGTATCTTGTGAAGCACATGATGACCATTCAAACATTTATCTGGATGTGGTGCATGATTTCGACTACTTACTCGGCATGATATTGTCGGACACGACATCAACACAAATTCAGGCGGCCATATTTGGCAATGGAAGTTCAAAGCACATCAAGGTCCATCCCTGAGGAATGAGTCGAACACCTTCGGTCATCCTAGTGCGTATGTCTGTTGTTCCAGCATACCTTGCGAGGCCAATGTGCTTGTTTATCTGGTGTAACATTTACTCATTTGGCAAAGTGGCATGAACGCTTGTCATTTCTCTATATCTTGTGAAGCATATGGTCCTTGCTCAAACATCTCTTTGGAGGTACACGGTTCCTGTGCCTTATTCAGCATGATATTGTCGGATATGGCCAATAACGCTCAAATGCAACCCGACTTCGGGTGATCATATTCGGCAACAGAAGTTCTAAACCCATCGAGGTCTATCACTGAGGAACAAGTCAGACACCATTGGCCATCCTAGTGCGGATGCTTGTCATTCTGGCAAACTTTATGATGGCGCTTTGCTTGTATACCTAGTGTAAAGTTTTACTCGTTTGGCGAAGTGGTACCAATGCTTCCCATTCCTCTGTATCTGTGAAGCGCAGCATACTTGGCCAAACATTTTGTCGGAAGTGGTACACGGTTCTGATGCCTTATTCGGCATGATATTCTTAGACATGGGAAATAACACTCAAGTATGACACGAATTCTTCCGGGTTGGTACGTGGTTGTTGTGCCTTATTCGGCATGACATTGTTTGACATGACAAGTAACACTCAAGTATGACACAAATTTGGGTGCCATGTTTGGCAACCAATGTTGGAACCTGTCTAGGTCTATGGCTGAGGTACAAGTCAAACATCATCAACCATCCTAGTCTCGATGCTCGCCATTTCGGTGTACCTTGCATTGCCGATGTGTTTGCTTACCTAGTATAGCATTTTGCTCGTTTGGCGGAGTAGCATCAACTATTGCCATTTTGTTGTTTCTTGTGAAGCACATGAGATGGTCATATTCGACGACTCAAGTAGGAAATCCGTCGAAGTATGTTGTCGAGGAACAAGTTGGAAGCCTTGGCAATCCTAGTTCCGACGCTTGCCATTCCGATGTACCTTCCGATGTCATTGTGCTCGATTGGCAGGGTAGCATCAAATGTTGGCCATATCTTTGTATCTTACGAAGCACATGATAGCTGGTCAAACATTTATCTAAACTTGTTACATGATTTCGCTGCCTTGTTCAGCATGATATTGTTGGACACGGCATAAATAACACTCAAATCTCACAAATTTGGGCCCTCATGTTTGGCAACCAACGTCTGAACCTCGTCAAGGTCTATCGCTTAGGAACAACTCGAGCATCGCAATCATCGTAGTCGATTGCCATTTATGTGTATCTTATGATGCTGATGTGTTGTTTACCTACTCTAACGTTTACTCGGACATGGTGCCGGATTTGACAATCGAAGTTTGGACACCTATCGAGGTCTATATCATCGAGGAACAAGTTGATCATTTTTGGGCATACTAGCTCCGAAGCTCGCTATTTCGTTATACCTTGCGATGCCCATATGATCGCTTATGAGTCTAACACTTACTAAGACACTTACCAAGACGTGGTAGAGGATCTTGATGCCTTATCCAGCATGACATTGTTGGACGTACAAAAACACTCAAATCCGACACTATACCTGGCCAAACCTTGAGCCGGGCCTAGCCAAGCCCGACGCAAAAAATCCAGGCCCGGCCCCGGCCTGGCCCGGCCATCGGGCCTGGTTTTTGGGCCCAAGCCCGGCCCGCACGCGTAAAGGCCGCCGGGCCCCTTCAGGAAATCGCAAAAACGATGGGCCCGGGCCCAGCCCGGCCTTCGGGCTCAAAATCTAGGCCCGGGAGCAGCGTCGGGCTGGACCGGGCTGCCCATGGCCAGGACTATCCAACACAGATTCGGGGTGCAATACTCGACAACCGGAGCTACACACCCTAGAGGTCTATCGTCGAGGAAGAAGTCAAATGTCGTCGGCCTCATAGTTCTGGCTCGATATTCTGTTGTACGTTATGTGCTCACTTACCTATTGTAAAACATTGACTCAAACGCAATATTGGATGTTAGCCGGGGGTTCTCCTCCTTTTTGGAAGAAAAAAAAACACAATATCGGATTTTGGTGCCTCAACATGGGTTTGGGTGTGTTTACTTGGCAACCAAAGTTTGGCAAGGATGTCCCAGCAACGCTGGAGATGTTTGTTGCACGGTAGTACCATGATTATTTGGTGCACCAAGGATGCCATATCAAACATGTTTTACAGTGTGAAGCCTACGTGCTCGCTTAGCTAGTCTAATATTTACTTGGATCTGGTACCAGATGGTGCCCGAATTTGGTATGGCAAGTAGCATTCGAATCAACATGGATTCGGAGAGTCAGACTCGGCGATCGAAGTTGACACGGATGTCCGAGCAACACTAGAAATTCCCATTGTACACCAAGGAAGCCATTTCCGGCATGGATTTCGGCAGCCCCATCACGACCACCACTTGTCATCAGCAAGAGACATCACACACGATTGCTTGCCGGAGTGCAAGTGGGCAAACAACCCTCCACCTTATCCGCGACCAGATCCCCCCAAAACATGCTTCCATATGGTGCACATTTTCCCCTTTGTTTCATTGCCTTCATTATTTACGTCTGCATGATTCATTTTTGGGCTAAATAACCATTTTGCCTCAAGATTAATTAGATATACTTTCAAAAGGGTCTACTGGAGCAGATATATTAATATTATGCCGAACATGTGGTTATTTCTTAAAAAGTTGGTTCCATTGATACAGGGAAAGTTTTGAACCAACCAACCACATCATGATTGATGAAAGTGGGGTCTTATTCTTGTATGCCAAAGTTATTTCATAGTAGAAAAAGGTTTCCTGTACCGATACCAGTATGCATTTTCATTGGGAGTCTGCTGGTTTCTCGTTGTTCCTCTTAAGTTACTTGTTGAAGCATGCCAATATAGTGCACTGGGGCATTAGGGTCATTTCCCCATCTATTTATGTAAGATGTCAATTATACATTGGTCCAGTCAAGAACTTTAGCATAGCCTGAAATGACCATCAATACTATCTAGTGTTTTCTTTCTTTTTTGTAAAGGGTGTGTTTGTAAGGACATGTGATACTTAATATATGTAAGGAGGGAGTACTAGTTTAAGCGAGCATGCATTACTTCGAGGATGGTCTGACAATATATTTTCATTGTGCATGGAATACTGCAGGTATCCTCACGAGGACAAGTTCACTCCCTGCTGGCATCGAGGATGGGTGGAGGAAGAGGAAGCTAGCAGAAACTCTGAACAAACTCGAGATGAAGAGGAGGATTGAGAGGATGAACTCTTCCAACGTTTCTGTAGGGGAAGTTGGAGAGAACGCGGATGAGATGAGTGAGCAGGCAGGAGGAAAGCAAAAAGCACAGAGAATGAACCATAGCAATGTGAGGCGTCGCTTGAGTGGGCTTCCTCCACCGTATCAGCCTCCAGCTGCATCACAAGGTCCGAAAAGGAATTCCGCTTTGAAAGGTAAAGTGATTTGCTAACCAACATATGTAAAGTAATTCAGCTGCATCACAAGGTACTTGGCTTTGCCGTCTGAACTACCAAGCCAAGCAACATACACCCACCAAATTAAATTGTGGCTTGGATTCATTCTGCCCTCTGGACCAAAACCGTGCAGTTACAGTATTTGTCCTATTGAACATGTCCTTGAACAGGAACTGCAAGGATACCAATAATTGACTGTGTTAACCAACCCTCGTTGTAAAGCAACTACTGATAGATTCGGACTGTTCTATACAAGCTGTTGTTTAGTAATTAGTAGCAGTTGGTTCTTATTTCAATGTTGCTACCTCCTATCAGATTTGCTTCTGCTGATCACCAAGGTATATGTTGGTGTGTAATCTTGCAGGAACTCCTGGCGCTCTAGAGCGGAGCCTGTCATCGGCTGTTCTGCCCTCGTCTGAGGGTGCAAACAGCGGCGCCGTGACAACCCCTTCATCTTCAGCATTGGCGGTGAGAGCAGCAGCCCCTGGCATCTCCACAGGGGAGCAGCGGGATGATTCAGAAAGGCCGGCGGCGAGAGCTACTAGGACCAGGAGCGTGGCAGACATGGTGCGGAAGATGCCAGTGGTGTACACCAGCGGGCTCCCCAACGGCGAGAGGATCGACGGCTTCCTGTACCAGTACAGCAGAGCTGAGGAGGTGAGGATTGTGTGTGTGTGCCATGGTAGCTTCCTGACTCCGGCGGAGTTTGTGGCGCATGCCGGAGGCGGCGAAGTCGCCCACCCGATGAGGCACATCGTCGTCAACCCCCCGTCGTCTTCGCTCTAGACCGGCGCGCGCGCGCATGCGGGTCGCGCAAGTGCTCCGCGTGTGGCCTCAGCAGCCCTAAGCTTAGCTTGGAACTAGAAATCTCATCGTGAGATTGCATTTTATGTTTTACAGACTGCACATTACAGTACTTACTTATTATCCTGAACTGGAGACATGGTGGGAGATTTGCTCCTACAGACAACTAAATAGCAAACATATGACAGATTGAACATTACTCGTTGTTCTGGTGATCATCACTTGTTTCCTACTGTTATTGTTGTCGTTGTCGTCATTCTCTTAGGACCAAAGGGTCTGCAGCCATGGTCTTGTAGATACAGTGGCAGCTTGTTGGTGGCAACCAGCCTGCTGGAGCAAATTTTATGAACCAGCGACTGGTCAGTTGTTGGTGGCTTCTCAAAGCTACCAGCAACCAGTCACTAGTGATGGAGCACCAGTTTCATGGAGTCAGTGGCGAACCATGTACCTGACACCCTAGAACTGATGCAACATCTTCATCACATCTTCAGAGTCGGTGGCTTTAGAGTACTTTGTTAGCCTGGTCACCATTCATGATGGCTACTGATCTTAGTGGCTGGCTTCTCACATCTCCCAGCAACCAGTCACTTTTGATGGAACCTGTTTCATCTTCAAGTCAGTAGCTTACCATTTACATGACACCCAGTCAGAAGTGAAACATCTTAGTCGCACCTTCTGAGTTGGTAGCTTTCAATAAAGTACATTGTTACTGAGTTGGCTTCAAGGCTTGTTCAGTTTAGAGAGGATTGAGGGGGTTAACCCCTACTAAGTCAAAAAATCCTCCCCCAAACCTCCCAGCAACCAACTTACTCAATCCACTTTCAACCCGACAAGCCCAGCAGGCAGCAGGGCAAGACTGAGACTACCTTGCGCTGCTCAAACCTAGTACTTTTTGTCAGCCAACAGATTTGGTGAAAGTGATGCTCAAACCTAGATAGGTGGATTCACAACGTTATACACCTATGCTTACGCCACTCAAAAGTCAAAACACAGGAGAAAACATTCCCGGGACACAGGTAAAGAATAGTGCAGCGATTCTTGCATACTAAGCCACGAGGAGCACTTGCTCAGAGCATGTTTAACATCAGCTAGCAGTGGGTCTGCATACAACCTTGTCATATGCAGAAGGAATTTGCAGATCAAACAGAAGAATACCCCGATGTCCTCCAAATCAAACATCTACATATATAACACAGGAGCAAAAGCGTTTTTAAGTTACCACTACATTTGAGGAGCGACATAGCAGAAAGACACGGCTGAAGCAGCACTACACTTCAGGAAACTTGGGGCCAAAACATGGCTTCATCCTTAGCAAGCGGTGAGCTTGGATATCTATCTCCTCAAGGGGAGCAGGCATACTCTTGCATCTTCTCCCAGCAGGCGGCAGTGAGCTTGGAAATCTCCTCGAGGGGAGCAGGCATACTCCTCTTGCATCTTCTTCTAGCTGGAGGTGAGCTTGGCAATCTCCTCAAGCTGGTACCTTGCTTCAGCAGAGTAGTCGACCGGCGACTCACTCCTCACGGTGATCCTCTGCCTCTTCTCACCCATGTACTCGTTCTGCACCACGCTGACACGGAACAGGTGGGGAATCCAGGTGGCTTCCTTCAGCTTGAGCTGGAACATGTCATCACCCTCCTGCAAACAGAATTTGACAGTCTTAGACACAGATTACAGAGCAAGCAACATACCTGCATTCCAAATGGCAAGGCACGAGTTTTTACCTCTTTCCTGATCCGATCAAGCTCATCTGCGCTGCAGCCAACAATTCTCTCTGCTTGGTCATTGAAAAGAGACAGCCAGGCCTCGCCAGTGGGATCAGAGACCTTGATCACCATGATGTACCTGAAGAGCCACGGTGAACAAGACACGTTTAGCATTGGTGTTTCATGGATCGTTAAATGGCAGTAGCATGTGTTTACTGCAACTGAGTAGGACTGTTACCTCAATGAGCACTGCTCATAGTTCTTCTGGCACCCTTCACACCAGAATCCTGATCCAAGCGCCTCAGTCACCTTCTTGTTGCAGGTGGTGCAAGCACGGTACCACATGGTCTGGTCAGGCTTAATGTTGCTTATGTTGGCATACAGGCTGAAGAAAACAGGCTGCAAAACAAATCAGGTCAGATTACTTCAGGCAACTGCCAAGTGTGCACCCATGAATTATTCAGGTTCAGATGCACCATGTACTGTTAACAAACGTTCAATATCTTACCTTGTCCTGGCCCAAGTTAGGGTCACTTGTGATGTGAGACAGAAAAACTCTGTCAGAGTACATTGATCTCAAGCCACCAGCGTTGGATGCACCCATTCCAGCACCAACTGATGCCAAGGTAGTACCCTTGCCTTCAGATTCATACCTATTCAGCAAATAATGTGGTCATGATCTATAACAGAAAAACTTAAGAGCTAATCAAAAGAAGCATGGTTTAGCATCAGGGCCTTACCAAGCTCTAAGCTTCTCAGCCTCAGGCAACTCTGGGTTAATCACAAGTGTGCTTTTGCCTACTGTAGAAACAGACACACCTGGTAGAGAAATTCAGTAACAAGCTGTTAGCACAAATAAAATCAAATTGTTATCCAGAAAAGAATTTGTGGAAGGGTGCCAAGAGCTTACCTTGAAAGTCAGATACTTTCAGGCTCTTCACTGCAATGATAGGTGCAGAGTCAACCATGTCCAAGAGTTCCTCACCAACAGTGGTGGCAAGATCATTCCAAAGAGAAATGGTGACAGTTTTGTTCCTACAATCAAATTAGTTGTACATCAGAACATGCACCACCTTTCAAGCTATCAATATCACATACACCACATGTTAGGATATCAACAAGTAAAGCTGATGCTTACGAGTCATCTGCAACAACAATGTCACGCTTTGGGATTGACTCATTGTCAATCTTTCTTCTGATGCTCAGGGTAGGTGATACACTCTGAACAACACCAATAATATCTACAGATAATAGATGGAACAGAGTAAAATTAGTCACACTGAACGCATCAAGTTGCTAATATAGCTCACTGACATTAAGCAATTCGGCCTCACCTACTAACTCCCTGCCACCAACATATGGCCCCAGCATATCAATCTTGACAAAGTTGTATTGCACTGGTGGAATGAAAGATTCCCCCTCAGCCTCTTCAACAACAGCAGTCTCATTCAGGGTCATCTCATAGTCATTCTGGACTGTCTTGAACTGCTTGTTCGCGATTCTGAGTGAACCCTTGGAAATGTAGTAGACCTTCCCCAACTCAAACACAGGATAGAACTTCTTTGCAGCCTCATTGAACATGGTGGCCTGGATCTGGGTGCCCTGTATTACACAGATCAAGCAAAATCAGCCTACAGTTGCAACTTGGTTCGGCAAATACATCTATGAAAGCGTTTGACATTTGTCAGGGGAACTTACATCCTCGTCAGTGAGCTCTACGTTGAAGACATGGCCTTCTCCACGGGCATTCCTGTATGACCTGAGGTTGCCCTTGCTTGTGACCCGCACCTTGATGACCCAGTTGCCCTGGTAGGGGTTGAGGGAGATCAGAGGATGCACCCGCCTCGTCATGGCCAAGCGAGCAGCGGGAGCAGCACTGCAGACACAGAAGTGACAGAAGTGAGCAGAAATTCTTCACAAATTTCATCAGCAGAACATTACAGCAAGGACGCGGCTATGCAAGAAGAGCTTACTTTCCGCGCTGCTCGCTAACAATCTGGGACGCGGACTTCACGTCGTGCCTTGGCTTCAGCATAATCGTAGCCGGGGCGGCGCCAATGGGCTTGGAGAGACCCGCAGCCTCCTCCTTGGGCTTCATGAGAACCGATGGCTCTTCTATCTTGACCTCGCTCTTGATCTCGGCGTCAAGAGCCTGGGACACGACCTCGCACTTGGTGATGATCACCATCCTGCCGTACGCCGTACAAAGCGCAGTGTTCAGTGAAGGATGAAACGGATCTGTAAGAACGGCGGGACGGGAGCGGGGATTGTACTTACTTGTCCGTCTTTTGTGGGATGTCGTTGCATGTGTAGTTGAGGATGCGGACGAGGCCGAGGTTCTGGAGCTTGCCGGAGTGGACCTCCGACGCGAAGTGGGTGGAGAGGATCGCCTTGACCTTCGCCTCCCCGTCGCTGGCCATGAAACTGCAAGGCAACAAGAACAGTCCGTCAGGGCCACATCTCATACAGGGGGAAATCGGCGCAAGGAAGAACAGATCTGTGCCGGTACGGGGCAAATGGAGAGATCTAACAGATTCTGAAGACCAAACGAGCGATTCCGCGGTGGGCGCAGAAGGGGCAGATAGATCCGGCGAGACGCTACGCGGGAGGGGGGAGGGGGCGATAGAAGGAGGGAGAGCACTCACGTGAAGCGGGAGCCGATGGGTTTGAGGTCGAGGACCTGCACGACGATCTCCGGCACGTCGTCGGGCGACTCCGGCGTGGGGTTGGCGAGGATGAGGGCCACGGCGCTCGGCGTCACCGACTTGGCGTCCATGCCTCTCGTCTCCGGCGGGGTTCGCGTGTCTTCCGGAAGAAGATTTCGTGGGCGGTGGAGGTGGTGGGCGTCGGCGTCGGCGGCGGCGGAGATGGCTTGGAGTTGGGAGAGGGGATGGGATCTGCGCGCTGGTTATAAGGTGCTTTTGAGGGGGAAATTGGCGGGCGCGGGCGGGGGCGGGGTTGAGGCTCCTGAGAATTGCCGCGGGTTTCTGCGAACGGCGGGAGGCGCGTGGATAGTTTTCTTTCTTTTGGCTCCGTTTTGGTGGCTCTGGCGGGAGAAATTTGGGGGGAGTTTTCGCGCCAGAAGCGAGCGAGCGAGCGGGGGGTTAGAAGCCGCTAGCGGTGTGGTGGTACCGCTTTCTCGGCCCAACTGGGTCGAGAGGAGGGCTTTGGGGCCCAGCATCCACACGTGATTCCTTTTTTGAATTCGGAAGTGTGTGCGAGACGATTGAGGGGGGAAATACTGTGTGCACCTGGCCGTGGGAAGAGGATATACTGACTTCGGGAGCGGAAACACTTTTTTTACGGTACCGTGAGCCTCCGGCGAAACAGATCCCGCAAATGTTTTGCGGGACAAGTTTACAGGATTTGTTCCGCGTCGAAGGGCTCGCGGTACCACAAATTTTACATAGCTTCCTAAATTAGAGGTTTCAACATAGAAATCGGATGGGATCATAATATAAATTAAATATATGAATATAAATGGTTCAAAAAGCAATTCAGAATACAACGACCGTTTTCATTGCAATAAATGTTCAAATTCGAATAGTTATTACAATACCAAATTGTCTAAATCCCACACAAATACATATGAATAAAAATGGGAATCTATCTCCCCACATAGAGTTGTCAATGATGCTCGATAAGATCATGCTTGAGTTGGTTGTGTGAATCACGATTCCCGATCTTTCGGTAGGTCTTAAGAAATGCAGTGATTTCATCTACGTCTCTGCCAGGTTTCACATGGCTACCAACATTGTCATAATTGTACAAGTCCAAATCCCTCTCATCCTCGACGATCATGTTGTGTACAATTACACAAGCAGTTATGATGTTTCTGATAAAAAAATTATCCCAGAAGCAAGCAGGACCTCGAGCAATGGCCACGAGCTTGCAAGACGCCAAATGCCCTCTCAATATCCTCTCGGCAAGGTTCTTGCTTCGGCAAAAAAGTTGTGTTTCTTGATTTGGGTTCACTAATGGTCTTCACGAATGTTGACTAGGAAGGATAAATATTGTCGCTACAATAGTACCCCATGTTATACTCATGGAAATTGACGGTGTAGTTGCAAGTCGGAGCTTTGACACTAGCTAGCTGAGCAAATAGATGAGATTGTTGCAGGACATTGATATCATTAAGAGACCCCGACAAACCAAAGAAACAATTCCAAATCCATAAATCATGTGAAGCCACGGCTTCAAGCACAATGGTGGGTTTTCGTTTGTGGCTTGTGTATTGCCCTGCCCAAGCCACCCGGTAGTTCTTCCGCCTCCAATGCATGCAATCAATACTACCTAGCATGCCCGACCATCCCTTTCTCCGTTCATTGCCATGTTTCTTTTTGTGTCTTCTTCGTTTGGAGCATGAAGGTACTCCGGGCCACAAACCCGGATCATCGTCTTGGCAAAGACATAGACGCATTTGATGGTGGTATATTCTCCAGTGCGAAGATATTCATCCGCGTAGTCGATGGGAACACCATATGCAATCACTCATCATCGCCGATATTTTTTGATATGCACTAAAGCCAATCAAAACGGTGGCATTCCTATGCCGAGTGAAGAAACAACAATTTTGCTAGCAAGCTTCAACGATGTGGAGGAAAAGTGACATACGCATTCGATGTCGCCTATGAAAGAGGTGAGATGAATATGTCGGTACCTCGGTGAAGTAGTCCTTCATGGGCATCTTGTCGCTGAGACCTTGGTTGTGGGGAATGCATAGCGGCCAACCATGGATCGGCGCCGCTTTTTCTTCGACCCTGCCTCAAATTCCTCCACGAGGTGCAACAACACTAGGTTGTCAACATCGTCGTCGAGGATCATCTCTTCCGTGTCTGAATCATCGGTCAAAGATGACAAGGACGAACTCCAACCCATCTACAAAATGCACACGATATGCCCATGAATTTCACCCGAACCTACTCCGGGCCAAATCGAGCAGAAACACGTGGGTGTTGGACATATCTCGCCCGACACCGACTGAAGCAAAGCCACGCCGCCCCTTTCTTCTCCCCCACAGGCCAAAGCAAAGCCGCGTTGTGCCGCCCTTTCTTCTCCCCTCCGGCAGAAGCAAAGTCGCGCTGCCCCCTTCCTCCAATGCGCGCGGGCGAGCCCCATTGATTACGAGGCTCATCGACGCCATAACCAACTGGATCCACATGCTACAAGGCCACGTGCCAAGCCTCGAGGCAGATCCATGGCGCCGGCCGTGAGCCTAGACACAAATGGGCACCCCTGCGCTAAAACTTGGTGGAATGGACGCGGTGTGGGGTGGCGGAGCTTTCGGGCGGTGCGGGGGCAGCAAGAACGGGTCGGGATGTGCGGCGACGGGTAGTGGAGGCGTGAACGGAAGCGGTCGAAAATGCGTTCGTGGCAAAGGAAAGGGGAGGCCGCAAAATCAAGTGAAATCCCATAGATATCAAGGGAATGAGCTCGTGGATTCCGGATCCCACAAAAAAAATCCGGACAGCCGATACTGAGGGATCTATTCGGGTTGGGCGAACCCCTCTGACCCGCAAACCGACGGTTATTTTGCCAGATGGCCTGGTTGAGGGATTTGCTAGAGATGTTGTTAGGGCATCTCCAAGGCGGACCCTCTAACCTCCACTATATATCCGGACCACAGTGTTTGAACCACTTTTGTCATCCAATGGGGACCTGCATATGTCAATTTAGCAACCCAGATGTACGGATTCCAGTATCCAAGAGACAAACAGGGGGAGGGGTGCCGGAGTCTAGACATGCACTTGACCAATCACTTGCATGGTCCCCCTCTTATCTCTCTCCTCCCAAGAGCACATGCATAGTCCCATCTTCCCTCTCTCCTCCCAACCGGACACAAACTCACAAATATCCCCACCACATGCATGACCCCACATACCTTTTCTCCTCCCAATTGGATACTTTGTAATTAGCATTGGATGGCTCACTCCCGGATCATGTCGCAGACCATGTTCGTACACAAAATTAGACATATACTGGAGAGATTAATGGGCCAGCCTTGAAGATGCCCTTAGTCCATCAAAGTTAGAAAAAAAATAAACTCATATATTAGCTTCGGATTCAAATCAGTCCATGATAGCAAAATCAACCATGCTAGCAGCACATGTGGCATCCGTGAGAAGTCGAAAGGGCTTTTGAATAAAACTAGGTTGCAAACCTTTTGCATATACCACCATGGATTCCCCCCTCTCTCTCTTGGTCTATTATAACGGTTCGATCGCTTGCATCCTCCTTTGGGCCGACCAAATGCTACTATGTGACCGGGTAGTTACAAAGATAGGTTTCGGGCTTGTCCAGACCCATGCTGCGAGACATGGTCGAGCAAGATGGGATTTTGCCCCTCCGATCAGGAGAGATATACTATGGGCCCCTCATGTGATCCGACCAAGATAAGCATGGCCATGCGACAAGGATTATGAGATAATCCGGTTAGTGGTTGGCATCACTGGAACGAGAAAGAGGTTAGGCTAGCACAAGGATGACAGACTCGCCTTGAGCCTGACAACGTACATCGTATGGCAAAGGGGAGTGTGACATGTTGTACATGTTCACCAACCGGCCTCATTGTGAACTTGGTGATTGACACCCCTTGCTAGAGGCCGCTACCAACCGAGCAGGTCAGAAGTAATCCGATCTACGAGCAAGCTGACTTGAACCGAAGGGCTCGCGCGCTTAAGGGAAGGAACCTGTGTGGCTGGATATGACTCCACGATTGATATATGATCTTACTCCGACCCAGATCCAGACCAAACAGACTTTGGGCTTTAGGATTCGTGCGAGGCACAGGTGTTGATGAGCGCGCGATGCCGATATATAGTGGAGGTGCGACACACTCATTCGGTTGATCGCTTCGGTGCCGTCACTAGGGTTTTGCATGTGTTGCAACTTGCAACTAGCCACCTCCACTCGCCGCTGGTTGTGTAATCAGACCTAGCAGTCCGTGATGGCTCATGTCCGCGTCAGTATTTCCCCGAAGAGGAAGGGATGATGCAGCACAGCTTCGGTAGGTATTTCCCCCAGTGATGAAACCAAGGTTATCGAACCAGTAGGAGAACCAAGCAACACTATGTAAATGATACCTGCACACAAAGAACAAATACTTGCAACCAGACGCGTAAGAGGGGTTGTCAATCCCTCTCGGGTAAAGGATAGATTGATTTGTAGTAGATTGGATAAATAGATCTCGCAAAAACACGAAATAAAATAAATAACAAAAAATTGCAGCAAGGTATTTTTTGGGTTTTTGGAATAATAGATCTGAAAGAAAAAGCAAATAAAAAATATCTCGAAGCAAATATGGTAAATAATAGATCCGGGGGCCGTAGATTTCACTAGTGGCTTCTCTCGAGAAAAATAGCATACGGTGGGTAAACAAATTACTGTTGGGCAATTGATAGAACTTCAAATAACCAGGACAATATCCAGACAATGATCATTATATAGGCATCACGTCCAAGATTAGTAGATCGACTCTTGCCTGCATCTACTACTATTACTCCACACATCGACTATTATCCAGCATGCATCTACTGTATTAAGTTCATGAAAAAAATAGAGTAATGCAACAAGAACGATGACATGATGTAGACAAGATCTATTCATGTAGGAATAGACCCCATCTTGTTACCTTAATGGCAACGATCAATATGTGTCTTGCTGCCCCTTCTGTCACTAGGAAAGAACACTGCACGACCGAACCCATCACAAAGCACCTCTTCCCATGGCAAGAAAAAACAATCTAGTCGGCCTAACTAAACCAAAGATTCGAAGAAC